TGCTATTAACCTGTCCGTGATTTGGCAACGCTGTCCTTCGGTTGTTTACATTTTCATTTGCACAATATAACCTTAAATACGTTTAAGTTTTTGCAGTCAGTGTAAATAAATAAATGAATTAGTTTGAATTTATTGAATGGTCTGAAGTTCGCGCGCTACGCAACGTTGCCAAATTTTTTGACTCCATTTTAACGTAGGTTGCTTGAGAATTTTTTGTGATTTTTAATTATTAATTTCTCAATAAATATCTCGGTAACTGATATATTTTATTGTAAAAAAAGAAACCTGAATATTTCGAAAATTTAATTTTTAGTTTTTTTTTACTTCATCTAATCTATGACTGATAGTATAATTCGAGAAATACTGCAAACGTCTGACTTTCTCGTAAGACTCTGAACAAATACTAACATTTAAAAATTTTATTTTTTCAAAAATTTGTCCGGTAAAGTATAATTTAAACCTCACTATTAGATAAATAAGGACCTTAACTATTAGAAAAAAAATTGAATTTACTCATAATCTAATATTTTTTATTTTACATTGGCGGCGAAAGGACCTCCTTAACTCAGGAAACAGAAAAAATAATCCGGACATTAAGACATCGTCCATAACAACCTTTCACACACCTAATAATATTTTGTTTGACACGATAACAGAATTATATTTATTAAAATATAGTTCATACAACTATTTATCAGTAGTTACTTCAACTAACCCATAGTTCGAGTAACGACAAAAAAAAAAACGCTCAGAAATCTATATTGGATGCCTTAAGGTAATTCGAGCGTGATAGGCATATCATAAGAAAATTATGAAATTTTTTCTGTCGAAACTTTCGATTCGAAAGATAAATATATTAATAATTCACCACCAAAATTTTCGAAATTGCATCTTTTACACGTAGAGCGTATGGAGAGATGATAAAGTTAGTATGAAATCTTCCTTACCACTCGAGTGGGCCAAATAATTTCATACTAACTTTACCATATCTCCATACTTCTGCGTATAAAAGATGCAATTTTGAAAATTAGTTACTCAAAAACGATGCGGTTCAATAATCTGAAATTTTGGTGGTGAATTATTAATATATTTATCTTTCAATAGAAAAAATTTCATAATTTTCTTATGATATGCCTATCACACTCGATCTGCCTTAAGCGCGATCGCGACAAGGCATAGCTCTACTGGAGCCTAAAAATCAAGTTTTTTATCTCGTCAAGAAAAATTATATTTTTAATCCATAATCCTCGTACAAATGTTTGAAAAAAATACACTGATGGCAAGAGGAATAATTACTGAACTAATTAAATACACTGCTCAGGTGAATCAATTATCAATTTTAGTGAAAAAACCCGTTTTTTAAAACTTATAGTGGAAATAACTGTCAAAATATAGTTGCGTGATCAAGATAACTAAAAATGTATACAATTTTAGGACTCATTTTTTTTTCAGCCCTGTCATTAAACTTTAATGAAGAACCCAATTCAATATCAAAGCTTGATATTCCTTCGTTTAGTTGTAATTAAAACATTTTGATTGGCATTCACACTGAAATTTTTCCATTTTAGTCGGTCATATGTTTATTTTTTTGGTAAACAGAGTTCTCACAGTGACTCTGCGACTGAAACAACGTATGTATGCGTATCGACTTGTAAGTAGTTGATATAACGGAACATAAGAGGGCGTTTTATTTGCATCATATATAATTACTGTACTCGAGAAATTAAAAATAAATAAACAAATATTTAAATTTATGTAAAACATGAGCGCTTAAGGTATGCATATTTGGATTTTCCAAACTTTTTTTATACTTGTGTGACGTTATAATTCAACTAACTATAAAACTGGTCGACAAAAAATTTTTTTAAAACTTTCAAAGATTTCAAATAAATATTTGTTATTTAAACTACTGTGTAAACTGATAGATCTTCACATAAAACTCGAAGAAAAAAAATGTCGATTTTTTGTGCTTCTCTATTTTAAATTCGAAAAATGCACAGACGTACAATTTAGGATTTTTTATTTTTTTTTTTTATCTACCTATTTGAAAATGTCACAAACTAACTTGGGTAAGTTATTCATTTTCATTCCAGTAATAGCTAAAGTTGACAAGAAGAACTTAAAGAAGTCATTTTTTCGTTTTTGTCGCAGTTTTTTAATTTCTTCTCTACTTTAAACGTAGAATTAATTATTACTGCCTATTTTATTTTATATCTTTTAAAAAACAAGTTTTAAAACAAAATATTAATTAATTTGTTGCAATTAACGATTTTCAACTCGGGTCACATATTGCTAGCAATTTGATACCAAAGTAAGTTGCTTGCTAAGGGTTAATGTGAAAAATAATAGCTCACTACATAATGATGTGGCTATTATTACGAAAAGTCCTTAGTCATTTTCACCAAAGTAGACAAACTATTTCTTCGGAGTCCATCAATCTAACGTTTCTGCATCCTTGCTTACTTGATAAAAACTTGAATTAATTATTCTAATTAGTTTTTTTTTTATTTTACACAATTGAAGTTACTGTTCGTATCATTTTCATTTGTTTTGAAGTTTCAGTTATCTTGACATTCTGGATTATAAGTACTATGAAAACATAGGCGTAAATTAGATAGCTTCAAGTAACATCTTTCATAATTTAAATAATATTTGATATTTCTTCAAGTAAAGTAAAATTAACTTCGATTAAAAATAAGATTGTAAGCTTCAGAAAATTCATATGCTTTATCGGCCATTAAAAATAGACAAAGTGGATATGTAAGAAAGCTAAGAGATTCTATTCTTATAGATTTATAAAGATCCGGGTTTAAGAAGCTTTATTTTCTGGCTAGAATCAAAGCTAAGGATCAAGTTAAGTCTACTTAATTAAATTCTCCAATTATTTTAGTGGATTGTTATTTTAAAAAAAGTAACTTCCAGTGATGTGTTTTTAAAAAAACTTGACTGTGATTACAGAGTTGCAAGTATAGTTAGATATAGGAGATACTGAAGAAAAGAGCTCAGAAGCAAAAAAAAATCTTTGCTTGCATTATTTATCAAACCTCTATGTATGTTTGTGGAGAGGACTTTGGAGAGACGGAAAAAATGTAAGTTGAATTTACAAAGTTCTACCCCACAAAAAGACACATGATTTTTTTGTCGGCTCGACTTCAAAGCGAGTTCATATCTTCTGTCAGCAGCCATTTTTTGTCATGTCGAGTAGTTATTCTTACATTGCTACTAATCAACATCTGCTGAACTATCATTAGAGAAATTTTGTTTATGCTATCTAATTTTGTAACATATCTGTGCTGAAAATTTGTGTCAAATTTTTAAACCAACTGAATTGACTTCTCTCCTCTGGTTTATCTAAATATTAAACTTAGATGACATTAAATCAATTATTATATCACATTAAAATAAAAATTACACACAAATAATTGGTACACTAACACTGATATATAATTAATAATAATAAATAGTTTTATTTGCACGACTTTCGTCTCTTACAAAATTTTTACATATATTGTCATTGTATGTTAATTGTATATATTATTTCTCTTTCCATTTGATCTTTCTATTTTTCTTTTCTTTTCTTTTTTCCTCTTGTTTGCACGTCGTTGTTCTGGTGACCCTCCTGCCCCAAATTCCGCAATCCCGTTTTTTCCCTTAGGATCTCTTCAATTTTTCTGAAGACCGTGCATGCTCTCCCGTCTATTCTTCCCTTTAGTACTTCTATTAATCTTTCTTCAACCTCTTCATTTTCTAAATTTTTCCATTCATTTAAAAAACTCTTTCCTTCTTCTCCAACTTTTTCATATATTTCTTCACATTTCATTATATGCATCAGGGTTTCTTCTTCCCCCTCACATACTCTGCATCTCCAATCCTTAAATCCTTTCTTTCCCCCTCTTCCTATGTTCCCACATCGTACCCTCGCCCATGTTTCCTTATCTTCCCCACTTATTTCATCTTTTCCCCAATAGTAATTTTTATCTTTGTCTATTTTTATTTTCTTATATAATTTGCAGTATGATGATTTCTCTATCGCCTCCTCGTCTTCTTTTTTTGCTTCTTCTTTTATTCTCATTATCCCTTCGTCCAGTTTTGTTTCTATTTCTTCTATTTCCTGCTCTTTATATATCATCCTGACTACTTCCTCACAACCCATTTTTTCTAATATTTTTTTCACTTCTTTACCCCATTTTGTTGCTCTTCCGTTTAGTAAACCTCTCATTTCTTCTTTCATAATAATCCACGGCCATCTTTCTCTGTCCATTTTTATACTGATATATAATTATTAAATACACAATTAATGATACAAAATATGTAAAGAAAAAAAAAGTAAACCTATCCGTGAAGTTAAGGGGTTACATGGGTTTCGGAGGGGAAAAAAGGCCTATTTTCAATAATTTTTTTTCTATATAAAAAACTATTTATTTAATTCAGACTTTTTTCTGTCTTAAAGATACACATTTTAAGAATAATTTCTAAGATTTTCAAAAAAAAAAAAATTAAAACTCTGCCATAGTGACGTCATTTCCGGTGACCCCTCGAAAAAAAGGTGCGTCCGAGTTGTCAGCATAACTCCTGACAGGATCATTTAAAATGAAAAAAAAAAAAAAGACCATTCGGCAGTCGAAATGGAAGTAGATTTCATCATAAATAGCAATAGCAAATTTCATAATTGGCATAGCGGAATAGGACATAATTTTGGGACTACACATATGATATGGTACTCAAATTGAAGCTTATTTAAAGAGCTTTCAGATGCAATTTACAGAAATTCGATAAATTATCCCATTTAAAAGTTATTGAAGGACGAAAATGGAGAAATGTTAATTTTTATGATTTTGAAAATTTTGAAATCATGGCATTTCTAAATTACTTGACCGATTAAGCTCATCTTCGAACTTGACCTCGGTATCTATCTGTAGAATAAGTATGTTGAGTTTGATAAAGATCCATTGTAAATTGGCGACGCTATCGTGGTGACAAGCGGCGTTATATCGTATATATATATATATATATATATATAAATATATATATATATATATATATATATATATATACATACACATATAAACTTTTGAACCATATGTATTTTCTGACTCAGCTCGTCGAGTTATGTCGGAATATAGCAAAATTTTTCAAAAGTTTTGTCATGAGGACCATTGCAATAGTTAGATTTATATGAAATCTACTAAAAATACGTATTTTAGTTAAGACCATAAACTCGTGCTTAAATGGAGCAAAAAAAAAAAAGTAAAAATTGGAATTTTGGCAGACCTTTTTCCAAAACGATGATAATTTCGGTCAAATTTGCTCCGACTTTTTTTTTTTTTTTAAATAGTTGTAATTGAAAAAAAAAAATTCCTCCATACAAGCACGAGTAAATTGTATCTCGAACACCTGTGTAAAATTTCATCAAGATCTGTTGAGTAGTTTCTGAGAACTTTTGACAATCGACTTTAAAAACACAGTTTCGAGAAAAACGCGATTAATGGCGGTGTTTTAATTTTTTTTTCTCGAAAATCTCAGAAATTATTCTTCAAATGTGTATCTTGAAGACAGAAAAAAGTTTGAATTAAATAAATAATTTTTTATATAGAAAAAAAATTATTGAAAATAGGCCTTTTTTTCCCCTACGAAACCCATGTAACCCCTTAATAACAAATAAAATTAATACAATCAAATTAATGAATATAATCTCTAGCGCTTACTACCCTTATAATATTTACTATTCCCCCCCCCCCCTCCCCCCATAGATAACCCAATAAAAACCCCATACCAACCTTAATTAAAATCCCATAGAAATCTTCATAGAAACCCCATTACAAGCTCTCCCCTAGAAACTCCCATAGCAACCGTTGCTAGGCAACGCTGCAATAACAACAGTTTCCTGGCAACAAGGCTTCACATCTTACCAAACCAACTTTTTATTTGGAGATTTTCAGGTAATATTCCTTTTTTTTTTTCCATAAATAGAGTCAAGGCTCCAAATATTGACCAGTTTAGATAAAATGAACAGCTGAGCTGTATCGACATTTAATTTTATTATTGACAACTAGTACTTTAAGGGAAAATACATGAGATGTGAGCGAGACAAACCTGGTAGAAAAAAAAAAAAAAAACAGTTGACGTAATTTAAATGACCAAAATATAAATTTAAATGACTGTTCATGAATTTCAATCTCTATAAAATATACAAGTGAATTAATTGCACTTGGAAGCTTGATCATTCGATGAACTTCAATTGGGATTTTTAAACAAGGTAGTTTTATAATTGTAAGATGAAATTTTTTAAAAATGGGGAGGGAAATCAATAGAAGGCTTGTGGTCCTTTGTGTTACAGTAAATGGCTAATCAACGGAATCAAGTGCAGAGACAGCAGGCTCTCGCCCTTATGTGCAGGTTTGTTTGTTTTTTGCTTCAAGCTCCTTGAAATTTAAATATTATCTTCAGATCTTCATCTACGCTTCAAAACGCAGTTTTACTGTTAATTTTTATGTTTTTAGATTTTTTTTTCTTCGTCAATTTTTTTTTCTGTGTATAAAAAAGTCTCAAATACGTTTTAGAAATTTTCGAAGTCAACATTCCTTTTGTTAAAAGATTTTTCTATTATTTTAAATAAAGAAACTAACTTTTTAAGCGAAACCATAAAGTTCTTAGAAGATAGCAAAATTATTTTTAGTCTTCGAGAAACATTCTTGGATGAAGAATTTGATTGTATTGATCATAGATAATATGATATTGAATCAAGTGATAGTTGTCAATCAAAGATATTTGTCTCCTGAGCCAAGATGACAAAATTCAATGCAAGAAATTCTTGAAGCGTGTCAGCTGGTTGTCTTCAAAATACATTTTTTTAGATTTATTTATTTCTTTATTGATAAACCCAACAGCTCTATGGTCAATTACAAGGTTACAAAAATGTGTCGATGAAAACATACCTTCAATCAGTAAGCTAAATTGTAAATGCTGCTAGCTATTGTAATAACATTATATTTATCATAGATTTATAGTAAAATCTCAGATTATCTGAACATAAAATTGAGATGAAATGTATGTGGCATCAATTTATTCGTGATGTGATTGGTCGAATATATCATAAGCATGAAAATATATGCAAACTCTACATTCAGGCGCGTGCTTGCACCCGCATATTAAATTCTATAGTACCGTTTAAAATTCTACTGGAAGTAATCCAAGATTGTATCTTGTTGAATTTGGATTATACTCGGTAGAATCTTGGATTATACCCAATGATATCTGCGCGATTTTCTTTCTAGCGCCTGCGCGAGAAGTGCTGTTTATAATTTGTGAATTATAGTCAACTAGCTGTTACCCGCTCGCTTCGCTGAGCGCTTTATAGAATTGCATTTTTAGATCTAGACTTCAAGTCATTGCAAGTCTTATAAGTGAAGTTGAAATCTGTCTAGCTTCAAGTACGAAGAATTTTTCTGTTATTGAAAATTTTCTCAGTAACATCAAATTTTTATAGAAAATGAATTTAACATGTTTTTTACGAATTCTATTTAAATAAGTAGCCAAATTTATTTTTCACATATTTAGTGTTTGGAAAATGCATTCAATTTAATCTGTTATATTCCCGTGATCCTGTGATTAGAACAATTCGGAAATTATGTAATCACCAAAAAATAACATGAATGTAAAATTCTTAGTCCGTTGACTGAATTACTACATGTAATGTTAAGTTTTGGAAACTTTACAGTGACTTTTTCCCCGCTGCTAAAGAGACGTTTGTTGTATGGAAATTTTTAATGAACGTTATTGAAACACTTAATAGACATGGCCTAAATTTCATGTTTCAAAAAGTCCTAGTTTATAAACGACAATATTTTTAGTAGATTTCGTAGAAATCTAACTATTTAATTTTATGGAACCAATTATCATCACCAAACACACGATCAGCATATAAATATAAATTTTCAACACTTAGTTCACCAGACATAATTAGCTTCTTTCTTAAACTTTTTTTAAATGACGTTAAATTAATCAAATATTATAAAGGTTATCTAATAAAAACAAAAGAAAATCGTATTAAAAACAAATGAATGAGAAATGAGAGTCTTTTGTTTTTATTAGGGGGAAAACGTATATAAAACTAAATCGTAAGAAAAATGAGAAAGGTTTGATAAAATTAAATAAATAAGTAGCTTATAACCATCTACGAAAAATTCTACGTCGAATGGTAGCAGTCCTATCCCGATAGTTTCAGCCGTTCTTGAGTTATAAATAGTGTAACTAACACGACTTTCTTTTATATATATATATATAGATGATCAGTATATTAAACATTAAAAAGATATAATCGGTACATTCATTAGTATGTAAACATTCATATTTTGTGCTCTGTAACAATATGTTTTACAGTCGTCATAATTATGAAAATTACAAGGTATGTAAAAATAGTGTACAAGACGTATACTTTATGTTTAGACTTGTGACAATAAGATCTAACCTATTCATAGTCATATGATAATTCTAAGTGCGCAGGCGCTAGAAAAAAAATCGCGGAGATATCATTGGGTATAATCCAAGATTCTACAGGATACAATCTCGGATTATATCCAGTGAAATCTTATGAGGTATAATCTGAGATTTTAATTGGGGAAATGGGAGATTACAATGAGTATTATCCAGATATCCCCCAGTATAATCTGGATTATACTAACTACTATCTAAAAAAATTTTTTCACTACAGATGTCACTGAGTATAGTCTTGAATGTTATCCAGTGTGATCTTGTTCTTTCCGTGTAGAGTATTTTATGCTATTTGTTTCAAATTCAATAGAAGAGACTCAAAGGCATTGGCGATAATATGTGATGTGTAGTCAAGTAAGTCAATTGAACTGTCTTGGTGCACATTATAATTACAAGCATTAATCAGTCTACTGATGGGCGATGAAAGGGTAAAATGTAAAAGTCTTTTTGCCATGGCGGATAAATTTAGTCTATATTCTTTGAATCAAGATAGTTTTTCTACCAGTATAGTTCAAAGGTGAAACAGTAGCTATCAAAAAATTGAGTGCGGTTGTTATCTTAAGTAACTTCTTTATAAGTCATTCTACAAGGAAATCCAGGTCATATTATAAAGGTTATCTAATAAAAACAAAAGAAAATCGTATTAAAAACAAATGAATGAGAAATGAGAGTCTTTTGTTTTTATTAGGGGGAAAACGTATATAAAACTAAATCGTAAGAAAAATGAGAAAGGTTTGATAAAATTAAATAAATAAGTAGCTTATAACCATC